TGCAGAATATGGCTAAAGCACAGAGTTAAATTCATAGCCTTGAATACTCATACTACTAAATAGGAAAAAACAAAAATAGAAAAACATTCAACTTAAGAATTTAGAAAAACAAAAATACACGTAAGAAAAGCAGAAATTTATAAATTAGAAAACAAGAAGAACTCTAATTAAATCTAAGCTGATTATTTTGAAATAAATAAATAAATACCAAGAAATAAAAACTAGAATTGTCCTGGAATAATTAAGGAAATATAAACAGATAAATTATCATAACAGAAATTTAGACAGTTGCCAAGGAATTTAAAAAACATCAGTATATGATAGTTTCACAGCTAAATTTTTCTGACTTTCCAAAAATAAGTAATCCCAAATCTATTTAAATGGTGCTGGAGTACACACCAAAAAAATTGAAGAAACCTTCCTTAATATGATGCCAATTATGCATCTTAAGCCAAAAGTCAGATTTACATTTAATGAACAACACTAAAATAGTTTCCAGTAATGCTGGACAAAAGCACAGTAACTTAGAATTGTTCTGGTAGTAAGTATGCTTCAATCAGGAGGTGATAGTTTATACTGTGGTAACAAAAATTGAGTGATTCAACACACAGAACTTTAGTTTTAAATCAAGTTACATGTCCAACATGAGTTAGTAGCAGACCTGGTTTCAGTCCCTCAGAAATCCGAAATGGTGATGCTCACAGAGGCTTCACCATTTTGCACCACACTATCTGGAACACAAGGACTATTTGGTTCCTGAAGGAAGGGAAGTGGTGAACGGACATTGCACACCTACTCTTGTATATTTCAGTCTGGAAAAAGCATATACCACTTTCACAGCCTATGGGACACATCTAGTCACACAGCCCTCTACTATACAGGAACAGGGAAATGTGGAACATTTGGGTATTTCAATAAGCAGAATATGTCTGCCACATAGAACTAGCCAGTGAATAACATCCAAGAGAAATAAAACATTATAAAAATTGGAAAGAATAAAGTAAAATTAGACCATACATGCTTAATAAAGCAGAAGCTGGGTCATAAAATAAATCAAGATCTAAGGTAGACTAAAATTAGTAAAAGATATATAAATGTGAATGATATGATTAACATGTTTGATCTAATAATAAAAAATAAACTTTAAGACAAAAGCATTATTTAGGATAAATGGATTATTACTTAATGATAAAAATAAAACTCCTAAGATATAATAAGCCAATCTGTTATCCATTGCTGCATAACAAACCATCCCAAAATGTGGTGGCTTAAATGAACAATGATTCTATGAGTTGTCCTAGTCAACTGAGCACCTGGGTTAACTGGGATCACTCATGTAGCTGAAATTCACCAAGAATGCAACTGGGGTGGAAACATTCAAGATGGCTTGATTCATATGGCTGATGACTTACCTAGGGGGGCTGATACAGCCGGGGCTGGTTGGGACTCTTCCCAGCAGGGCAGTCCACTTCTTACCTGATATTCCAAGGCTTCAAGATAATAAAAACATTGCCAGGCCTCTTAGAGGCCAGTCTCAACATTTGTACAGCTTTACTTCTGACACATTCTACTGGTCAAAGCAAGTCACAAGGCCTGGTAGATTCAAGGGTAAGGGATATGGAATTTATTTCTTGGTGGGACAAGCAGTGTGCACATACAGATATGAGAAGCATTATGAGTGGCCATCTCAAGAGACAGTCCACCCTCTAGTGACAAATATTTATATCCCTCTCGTATGAAAAAAAAAAAACAGTTCCAGAAAGCCCCAAAGATTTCTCCAATCACAGTATCAAATTCAGATGTAAAGTATACAGTCACCTAAATCAGGTCCAAATGTTGGTGAAACTCCTCCACTGTGGTTCTCAGGTAAGAAACATACATACAAAGAGAAACAATAATGGTGTGCCAAGCTACTAAGTAAAGAACAGTTCTAAGTGTGTATGCATCTCATAAAATAAGGCCACAATATACAACCAAAAATGGACAAAAATGAAAGAAGAAATAGACAAATTCACAACTATAGTGGGAAACTTTAATATAATTCCCTGGGTAATTAACAGAAAATCAGGAAAAAATTGTAACTATACACCAACAATAAATACTTAGAAAAAAAGTTTAATGATATCACAGTAGCATCAAAAACATGTTAAATACTCAGGAATAAACCTAACCTGAGTAACTAGAAACTTCTTGTGAGAAATTCAAGCTGATCTTTGCAAATGGAGAGATATGCCATGTTAATGGATTGGAAGAGTTAATCTATATTAATTTATATAAATTAACTTATAGATTCAATGCAATTCCAATTATTAAAAATCCAATAGTTTTTTTTTGAGAGGATGGGAGTAGGAATTGACAAATTATTTTTAAGTGCATAGAAAAACACAAAGAACCAAACATTTTTGAAGAAAAACAGTGTATGAGTTAAACTATTAGATAATAAAACTTGTATAAAGCAATAATAATTAGAACAGAACAACTGGAACAGAAAAGAGTTTCCAGAATCAGACCCACATGATTTTTTGGTTTTATGACAAAGGTGAAATTGCACTGTACTGTGGAAAGAATGGATTTTCAATAAATATTAGGGCTGGGTAAATTGGGTATCTATAAAGGGATATAAACCTTTACTTACACACAAAATTAGTTCCAATCTCTCTCTTGTTCTCTATG